CTGCTGTATCAGAGGCTAAGATAGAATTTTTCTACTGCAACTCCAAAAATGTTGAACTAAAAACTGTTGCTACAATCTTGCAAGATGCAGCCATAGACTCTCATGAGAGTAACTGGACCAAATCACTCCAAAACCCAAACCCAGATCTCATAGCAATATTACACTACAATAGGAGCCTCTAAAGGTATCTTTTAAAATCTTATTCTAAACTTGGAGGCTTTGTCGAAGCAAGAAAAATGATGTTAAAAATCAGAGTGAGACCCAGAGGAAGAAGCAAAAAGGGAAGCAAGACACAAATGTACTCTAGAGAACAAATTCTTAGACAGTTGAAGAGAAAATTCTAAATTCTAATCTAAACTAAATCAATTTTTAACATGCAAGAAACAAAATCAATGACTAAGTTTTGGTCGCGTAGTTGAGTGTTAGAGTGTGCTTGCCCAGCATGAGAAAAGCTTTGGGTTCCATTTCGATTACTGCAAGGAAAACAAAGTAATTAAAATATGAATTCAAGGTGTGACAGTGTATGTTAAGAAAGCTCAGAGAGATGGATGAATTAACAGCTTTCTGTAAAAAGCAGAGGAGCCAGATAATAAAAACAGAAAACAGTAAGTCAAGAACAGGAGACATTAAACAGGAACTACCTAACATCTAAAAACAAGAAATACTGTGATTGAAATAATAAAACAAATGGTGTGTGTCTTTCTCTGATGCCCAAAATTAGGGAAGGGAAGCTTTATTTCTTATAATTTTGAAGGTTTCAGCCCATATTGAGTTGGCTCCAAGGCAGGGTGGCATGGCGGGGCCACTATTCATGGCTCCCAAAAAACAGCAAGAGCAAAACATGCAAAAAAAGAAAAAAGACAGGTCTACTTCCTGCTCTTACACAGTATGATGGCTCTGCCCCTGGGTAAGTGTAGCACTCACACATTAATCCCAGTGCTAGATCAATGAACCAATCATGAACGCTGGATCCAGCCATGTGATAATTACAAGAGGCTTGGAGTAGAGGGAGGCATCTAAACACAAACCATAACAGTGCACAATCTAGACTAGATACATTTGGAAGTTTCTAACTCAAATTGTGTAAGTATTACCAGCACCAGGAGATTGGAAAGCAAGAAAAAGGAAGAAAATGTATACAGGAGACGAGTTAAAATTTTCCACAACTGGAAAAATATGGTTATTTGGATTATAAGTACATTTCAAATTGCAGACTGAGTTTTCAGAACATTAAGTATAGAGAGAAACATTTTTTTTTTACATTTTAGCAGCGATTACCTATCCGGGAAAGAATATGAGATGAGTATCAAACTACCTGCAGTCAAGAATGGATGCCAGAAGCCAATGGGATATAAATTTCTCAGTTCAAGGAAAAATAATGTTCTACTAGAAATCGAAACTTAAGTTCAACACTTAAGCTCAGTGGTGTAGCTCCTGCCTGGCAAGTACAAGGTTCTGAGTTCCTGGTACCAAGAACAAAACAAAACAAAACAAAACAGCTGAAGTTCAAATGTCAAAGGAAAGAATTCATTTACGTGAAGTGAATTAACAGATTCTCATCTATAAAACAATGAAAGACGTACACTAGAAAGTAAACTCACACCAAATTGCACATACATGCCCATACACATACCCACACACATGCCCAATGTATAGCCACAGAATGTATTATAAAAAGTGGTATAATTGCTGAAATTACTATCTTAAAATACAACTAATTGAATTTGCAAAAAGATTAGAAGTACTTATAAATGTCTAGGAAAACATCCTAGAGCCTAAGCTATCTGGAAGAAGAGAGAAACACAAAATACTCCCCAAGCTACATAATTATATATGGACAAAAATATAGACAAAACCACTGAAAGAACAGAAATGTAGTTTCTGATTATACAATAGAATAATTTACAATGAATAGCAACTTCAATGATGCAACAAAAGTAAAAAATAAATAAATAATAGATTAAAAACCTGAAAACTACAGTGAGAAAAAAAAGAGTCCAAACACAACCAACAGTTTCACCAAACATGCATGAGTTAAAGTGGTCTACTGAAATACCAATATTTCAGAATGTATCTTTACTGCTAGCTCCTTATTAGTTAGTCCATCTTTACGCTTCTCCTGCCTCTTGGTAAAGAAGAGGACACCAGAAGGAACAAGGGAATGAAGTTCAGGCTGAAATATGAATGAAAGGCAATTAAATGATACTAGGTAAATGCTACCAGTTGTGTATGTCTCTTAGACCCTCAATCAGCTTCTTAGGACCTCTTTAGTTGGCCCAAGCAAAATCTATTCCTGAGGATACCACAATTTAGGCTCCTTTTGATATACTCAAGTACAATTTTTTACAGGAAATAAGAAATTGCTATTCAAAGAACTGTAAGCCTTCACGCATATAAACTCACCTTGGGGTAGCCAAGATTTACTCATCAGAGAACTCCAGCCCCACCTGCCTGCTGCAGCAGGACACCCAGAGCAGCAATAGCATCAGTAGCAAAGGTGTGAGGAGTCCTCTGCACCTCAACACTGGCCCTTGTTAGCCCTACTGCAGAATCCACAGACCTACGCTCCCTGTCTAAAATTGAAAATGAGTATCTATCCCAAATAGCCCTAATCAGAAAGAGGGTAGTTCTGAAAGTAGAGACCTACATGATCAATGTCAGTGATGCTACACTTTCTAATTAAAGGAAAATTATTCATAGGACCACATAAAACCATGGGCAGGAACAAGCACCATAATTCTCAGTATGAGGCAAGTCTAAGTAGGGAGGAGCACTGAAAATCTAGATATCCCAAACAACAGTAAGTGATCACTGACTTTATTAAGGTATTAGTTCCATTGCACATAAGCCTGTGCAGCAAAATTCTCAATAAGTTTCTTAAAATTCCCCCTATGCTATGGTGTTCAAGCCCGTGTCTTAATGCACTTTTTGAGTTTGTTATTTGTTTCCTTGCTTTTCTGGGTTTTTTTGGTACCGAGGATTGAAGCAAGCACCATCACACCGAACTACATCTCCACCCCCTATTTTCAAGATAAAGTCTCATTAAGTCTCTAAACTGTTCAGTTGCTCAGAGTGTGTTTACATTTGAGATCTTCCTGTCTTAAACTCCCTTGGTGCTGAGACTACAGGTGCACACCATAAGTGGTCTTAACCTCAGTATAAAACAAAGAGAGAAAACATTGTACAGGGTGAAATCTTCCTGATTTTCCCATGATTCCCATACACACACAGACACACTACCACACACCACACACACGCACACACACGCAAATGCATACACATACATGCACAGGCACACACAAAAACACAGTGTCCTGTCTACAATACAGAATGTCAGATTTTTCTTTTTTCTTAAGTTTTGGTAGTCAATGCTAGCCCAATGATATGAACTCTATAGTTCATGACCTTTCAAATAGCAAATCTGTAATACGGTCTACCTTTAGTTGCCTAGTTGATGACTAATTAAATTCTTAAAAATCAACTGCTATTGTTTTCAAATGTTTTTGTAAAGTTTAACTAACCAAAATTATTCAAAACAATCTGTTGTCTCTCTTTTAATATTTGGATTCTTTCATTAAGATAACAACTGGGCATAAAAAATCAATAAAAGAGTGACACTACAAAGAATGAATGTTTCATACTTTGACTGAAAATGCATTTATCTTTAAGTATTTTTTGAGCCCTGACTTAAGAATGTACATGAGCACATACGGTATATAAACATACATTAGATTTGTGCGTGTTCAGAAGTAAAAATAGCACCTTTAATTCCTGCTTAAAATATACTTTCATTTTAAAGGACACATAATAATTATTCATAATTATAAGGTATAGCATAACATTTTAACACATGTGAACCATGCACAATGACCAGATCAGGATTATCAACATATTTATCATCTCATTCATTTATTATATCTTCATTAAGAACATCCAAACTATATTGACTTCAATTCCAATATGAATGACAGATGTATTGCTAATAAGCAAATATAACATCCATAGAGATTCATTTACTTGAAAGGCTGAGAGAGCCTAGTAAAACTATCCAACATCTAATTTACAATCAAGTAGACATATGTGAACATCCTAAATAATCTTGTATAAGGTACTGAGATCATAGAAAATAATGGTGAAAATCTGTACTGTGATTTTTGAGAATGTTTTTCATTAACTGCAGATGGGCACTCTTACATGAGAAAGCAGAAATTGTATATATACAACATTGAATACAACCACATTTGGTTGGGGCATAAATTAGTATTTCAAGAGTGAGATAAGCATCAAACAGTGTTAAGTGCTTTAAGACCTAACAGAGCTTACAATGTAGCCATGTAATTTTGTCAGTTTTAGATTTGAAAGAGGTGTTAGTCATGATGGTAGCCAACATCAGAAACCAAGCTAAATGAGAAAAGTGATTTATCCAAGGGCACATTTAGATATTAACTGAAATGCCAATGATACACACATATTTATGCCCCTAATCCAGACCTCATCCCAAGTTCACTGCCTTTTAATTAAACAGTTATTCCAAGAATATGACACATAGATCCTACACAGTTTGATTAAATACAAATAAAATCATAATATATTCTGAAAATTCTTTCTCACAATAGGACAAAGAAGATTCTTGGAAAACTCAAAGAATTTTCCTTGCTGATCCATCTTTGGTGCTTGAAGGATCAGTAAAGAGTGAAGGAAAACTGTCTCACTCCTCAAATTAAACAGAAAGTTAAAATTCAAAAAATGGGGTATGCTCTAAAAGAAGAATTTAAATTTAAAGAATTTCCACCACATGGAGGGTAAGTAGATCTTTCCCGTTCAATAGGTCATGGTCTGTAACATTCTAAGTTACAAGTTCCTCATTAAAATCTTGAAAAACTGGATTAAAGATGACTTAAACTTACAATTTGTTTCCCTAGAGTAATGGCTACAGTATTATCTCAGTACAAGTTAACAGACACCCCTCCCCCCCCACACACACATGCAAAGGTACTCACTGAGCTGTAGAGATAACCTTCACCATTCATGGCCACATAGAGGCTGGCTTTCACCCCCTGAATGGCCACCACACGCAGCCCCACGGGAATTAGATTGAAGAGAGCTGGAGGGGCAAGAAGAAGAGAGGAAAGGGTTAGTGACCTACCGAATGCATTTAACCTGCTTCTTACAACAATTCTTTTGAGAATTAAAAATCTATTAATCAAAATTCATGGGCTAAGAATGAGGTCAACGGGCTTGTTGTCTCTATGACACCATTCTGTACCCATGTAAATTTGAGTAAGTTCTATGATTCATTCCTCGTAGATTTGAAAGTCCAGGATTCCTCTCAAAATGAATATGTACTCTAGTACTGTAAGATGATTCTTGCTAACAAACAAATAATTGCAACCAAAAAAATTCTCAATAGTAGGCAACAAATTTGTATTCTGAAGTAAGAAAATAAGACATTTAAAATATATGTTAGGACTCTTCAATGTCAGTGTTTTCCCTACGGTCCTGAACATTATGTTAAGCACAGAAAATGAACGTTAAAATCATAGAACCATTGAAGCAACTGTGGGCACAGTTTTTACTTTCGTATTTCTACTGCTGCATGTAAATACACATAAATGGCTGGACATGACTGATAAATAAAACATCCAGGGGAAAGGATACATTTGTAAGAACATTTAAAAATCTACTTGATGAATTTAATTCAGCATCATTAAATGAACTGGGAATATTCTTGTACTCTTTAAATATTCATGCTATCTATAGGTTTATTCGAAAAAAATCACAAAACAAAAATAAATTTTTAAATATTATGTATGTTTCTAACAATATACTGCCATGAAATTTTTGCTTTCATTCTTCTAGTTATATTTAAATTACAAAATGAGCATAAGAAAAACACATTATACCTACACTGAAAAATTTATATTACTTATGACAGGAAAGGAATGATAAGGTTAACCTCTGTAGGTGATATTATAAATATGAATGCAATACCTTATGACTGTATGCATAAGAGAAAGTCTCTGCAGTTCATTTTAATATCCTAACTTAGATCTTATCTGTGACTTCTACAGATTAAATTTTTATCAGTTCTGATCCTCTTGATTTTGAATATAAAATACACATAAATTAACCCAAGCGTTACTATTAAATAGAAAAGTCTCTATTTTTCTGGGATATCTAAACTTGGAATAGTAAACTACACATGCACACAGAGACACAAAATACACAAAAACACAGAGTATTTGGATTTCAGTTAAATGTTCAGTTAAGAGTAGAGTTTATCAAGCCTTAGACTAGATGTTTACCATCACCCCATTCAATTCCTACCTGTTGACACTAACTCAGTTTCTTTGCATCTTTAAATATATTTCCTCATTCATCATGAAAAATCTTAGTGGGTACTTAAGGTTTTTATCGTTGGCCTAATTTAGCTGTGAATTAGTTCTTGTTGTTTCTAGATTTTTACCGGAGTCCTTGTGGTACTAAAACTGCCTAAGCAATTCAAGACCTTGAAGTCTAGGACAAGGGCTAAGAATATTGGGGAGAATAAGCTAAGGCATATGGAACAACCTGATACAGTGTATAATTTACTTCTATAATTAAATGTAATATATGCACTCTCTAAATATTCTCTATGCTACAGAAGTTCAGGAAAATGGAGGATCTGTGTATGCTGCGTTACTCAGGAACTGCTTTGCAGAGAATGTAGAATCTCTGTTGACACCTAGAGAAGGAGCAGTGAAGAGCAAAAAGGCATTTTAACAGGGCAAGCAGTTAGGTAGTTTTGCAAACTCATGAGTTGCCAGAAAGGACTGGGAAACTAGAATATTTAATTCATATTGGGCAGAAATACAAATAAAGTAACGATAAATAACTGAGAGTCTTTCTATTACAGATCCAGACTTTAATCAGAAATGAAACAAAATGTTGCCTACAACAGCCACGCAGATTATACAACAACTGAAAAAGCAACACAGTTATAAGAATGAGAGAGACTGGATGATAACACAGTTGCTGAACCAACCACTCAGTTATGTGGTGCCAATTCATTCATGTACCCTACTTGCCTTCATTTTTGTTATCTATAAAATAAGCATAATAACTCCTACTGCATGGAGTTTACAGCAGAGCCAAACTCATTACCATGTTCCTGAAAGTGCTTCATTAACAGAAATGTGTTCTCTTCACCCATGTAAGTTGTTTGTAGATAACACTTGCTTTTTCTGATTGGCAAGCAACATTATCTGTCACAAGACCGACATAAAAACTGATCCAGTTCCTCAGTAACATTTTTGATTTTATATTTAAAAACTTGCTGAATATTTTAAAAGATAATACTTCAAAGCTGCACATTTTTCCATCCATCGACACATTTTCTCCTCAGCCATTAAAGCTACAACCGAATGTTGATTAATTTTAGGAGGACCAACACATTCAGGGAGGGGATTCTGGTAAAATTATATTTGAGAGAAGGTTTTCTGGCTCTCCATTATCTGTCTAAGACAACATATTCCCTCCTTTTTTTTTTCCCTTTAAAATTCAATGTCCTTGAATATCCCTTCTTGTCTTCTTCTAAATTAGATGTTTTAGCAGGATTTCCCCACACGTGCTGTAACTAGAGGGAGCTTCCCTGGGATCAGTATGGCCAATCACTTATAGGCAGATGGTTCTTAATACATTTGAAGAACATTTTCTTGAAAACAGCTTGTGGGTCTCCCTTGCCTCCCTCCTGCACCCTGTGTTTGATTGCTGTTAGGATGGCAGTGTGTCTGCATCTCTCCAGACCATGTAAACAAGGGCTATTTCGGCATAAGCAAGGGCAGGACAGCTGAAAGGAGCTGAGTTCCTCGGAGTTTGGTGGGGATGTGGCAGAACTCAAGTATTCATTTGCCAAGATCAAGCTTTTATGAGAAAAACCAAGAAATTATTTTAGTCTGCATAATGCAGAGCCATCCCTAATCCTCAGTGATACAGACTGCCAGGGAAAGCAGCATTAACCTCGTAAATACTAATTAACTGTAAGGTGCTTATATGCTGTAAATAAAAGCAGATAGTGTAAAACATCATATGCAAAGCTAGTTCTTTTCAGAGAGAGTAAGGAAATCCAAAATTTTGCACGGTGTCTAGAAGTACTTTCTAGAACAAATACTAAAAATATTGGTTCACATGGTTTAAATACAGAGGGAATAAAAGGGAAAGACTTTTCTATGTGGAGAGTTTAAGAAAACTGTAAAGCTAAGTAGGGTCAAAACCAAGACACTTGTGAAAAGTCTTACCCAAGCAGCAAGGTGACAGTGACTTTCAGACCACCTGCCATGGAAAACTAAGCCCATTAGAAAAATCGGTGAACACTTTGAAATGAGACTTTTCTGTGGCGAAGGCTAGTAACAGTTCTCCTCAAGAGTCTTAATCCGCCTCCTTAAAGCCCCCAAAGTGGCAAATGGCTTACTGTTCTCTCTTCAGCGTAGCTCACACTGGTTCTAGCTCACAGAAGCCTTTTGCTATTCAGTGACAATTCCTCCTCACCCTGATCTTCCTCTGCAGCCCAAAAGCCACTATTAAATGCAGTAGTGGACTCCTGACCCAACACTATTCTTCAAGTTCCTTTCCTCTAGCCACGATCCTGCTAAAATCTCAGGTGAATCCTCCTTGTATGTAATGTCCTGTACAACCTGGCACCAGTCCACAGGTGCAGTTTATCATCTGCCACCCATTCCATTCACCATTCAACAGACATCACAGATACTTCAGCATTTCCAAAGTTCCTTCCCGTCACCTTCAATGAGGCTGGGCTTTGCGCTCTGTCTTTTTCTGCAAACTCTGTCTTCCCACTTACAAATCTGGCCAAAATTTTCATCCTTTAAAGTCCACTTTATTCACCTCCCACATGAGTCTTGTTCAAACCCCTCAGAGAGAATGCTAACCTTTCCTGAATTGTCTGTTTCTTGTACATATATTTCTGCAGTGGCATTTGGAATATCTTTTAGGAGTATCCAATTTATTCTTTTATACTATTGTCTCCATTCATATAATACAAGATCCTTAAGCATAGTCTCTGCAGTGTCTGGCCTGGTTACAAGTAACATAGCTTATGTTTAATAAACATAACCAGTTATGAAGGCCATGAAAAGTCATGCTACTTCCTGGAATTTAGGTTTCCTTATTCAAGTACAAATTTTTTAAAGAAAAATAAATTTAAACTTAAAGTTTCTCAGCCTAGCACTCAGTTACAGGCAGTCACAACATAGATTTTTGCTACAAGACACTGTTCACTCTAATGTATTTATTTATTGCTTCTAGTAATTTGATCCTTCTCCTGTCTTCTAAATTCTATGTTTTTGCATATTTTTATTCAACTACTTGGAATGTCATTCTTCTCATATTTTCATACTAAAAACCCTGCCACGCTTGAAATGACACATCGAACACCAAATGCTTTCTCTTGCTGATCAGCTGCCCTAGTCATGGATCCAGACTATATTTATCACAATTTATAATTATCTTCTTTAAAAAAAGATGTTTCTTCTCCCAGTCACAACTAGACGGTAAGTTCTTCCAGCAAGGATCATGTCTAAACTATGATGGTGTAGTAAGTGTGGTAGGTGGGAAGAGGAGACAGTGGGGATATATTTTACTTACACTTGGAAGCCAGACAACATTTTTGAAATAAAAAAATTATATGCCAGATAGAATACAAGTATCTAATTAGGTATTTGAGAGTCATCTCAATTCCATCCTTTTCAGAAGGAGTATTTCATTCTGACCTAAATTGTAAAGTTGACTCTGCTATTTTGAATAGATGAAATAGAACTGGAAAGCTTGATCTCCGTATAGCAAACTCAACCATGGAAACAGATGGGAAAAATTACAGTGAAAAGAGAAAATAGTATCTTCAAGTGGAAAGGTAAAAACACAAGTCAAAACAATGAAAATAGACCTGCACATTATACACACACACACACACACACACACACACACACGAATCACAGCATGAATTAAACACCTAAATAAGACTCTTGAGATGGTAACACTCTTAGAAGAAAACATAAAGGAAAGGTTTGTTGATAGTGGTAACCATTTCCTGTAGGCAGCACCCAAACACAG